GTGGTGGGGTGGGGGTGGGGGCGGGGAATCGTAAACCCACAAGGTTTTGAGGAACACCTGGCAGAATAGATTGTCCGTGCTGTGACTGATGCTACTCCTTGTCCCTTCAGGATAAGAAGTACACGCTGACCATGGAAGACTTGACACCAGCACTTGCGGAATATGGCATCAATGTGAAAAAGCCACATTACTTCACATAAGACTGAGGGGTTGTCACTGGGAACTTTTTTAGGGTCGCTTCTGTGCCATTAAACAGCTGGGTAGTTTTTTTGTGGAAAGGCATCTTGACTCCTGCCCAGGCGCTAATGCCCTGCCTACAAAACAGCACACAAGCTGGAGACTGCTAGAGCCTCTGTTCTCGCTGCACCCACAAAAGTTGGTCCCATGCCTTTGAAAGGCCAATGCAGAGAGGGGTTGGTTGTAGGGCTCGCAACTGGTGGATTCCAATTGCGCCTTCTGCCATTCCCAGGAGGGCTTAGCCCTGCCCCAGGAAGCTGAAGGAAAGTGGGTGCAGTGGGAATAGGCCTGCCTGACACTTCTTCATTTCTTCCTCCCAAGCATACCTGTTGTCTCTCAAGAGGCACCCTTGGGGGCCAGCACTGCAGGCAGAGCCAGAGGCAGAACTCTCTTGGGAGGAGGGTGCTGTTAGCCCACCTGCTTTCCTTGCTCCAGTCACTGGAAGAAGTTTGGTATAGGCGCAGATCCAGAGTCTAGGACCCTGCAGACTGCTGGGCAGCCCCCACATGAGTCTTGCCCCCTTTCTGTGGGCAACACCCTGCACATGTACACACCCCTGCACCAGCAGCCAGTTTTTGTAATAAATGTTTATTTCAGATGCCGGTGGCTTTTCCACATGGCCTGGATGGAAACGATAAAGAGTGAAGCGCAAAGCTGGGGTGGTGCTGGGTGCGACAGGCAAGCTTCACCCCACTGTCCTTAGTAGGGAAGAGCACCAGGACTGGGCACTGCCTCACACGAGACGGTTATGTGAGTGGGCTGCTCTGAGGAGGGTGACTCCACAGCCCTGTCCCAGCGTCACGGGTAGCAGAGCCCAGCCATGCTTAAGTGTCATGGGCCAGGCCTCCTGCTCAGTCTCCGCCTGTAGCTGCCAGGGAGGATGGAGGTGCTGCCACAGATTTGGTGCTACAGTGTCTGAAGCCTGCAGAGCAGCCCCAGAGAAGGCAGCGTTGTCTGTACCGTGTGTCCATGGCTGGCTCAGGGTGAGGGGGTGTCCCCTGCTCCCCCTTGGCTCTGGGGTTAAAGAAGGCACTTGGAGGTGGCAGGGCGCTCAGTCTCCGCCTGTAGCTGCCAGGGAGGATGGAGGTGCTGCCACAGATTTGGTGCTACAGTGTCTGAAGCCTGCAGAGCAGCCCCAGAGAAGGCAGCGTTGTCTGTACCGTGTGTCCATGGCTGGCTCAGGGTGAGGGGGTGTCCCCTGCTCCCCCTTGGCTCTGGGGTTAAAAAAGGCACTTGGAGGTGGCAGGGCGGGAAGCATGGCAGCGTCAGGTGGCTGGGAGGCACCTCCCTCTCTACTTCTCCTGCATCTTCTCCAGGATGGGCACGATCATGTCAAACTTGGGGCGCTTGGCTGGGTCCTCGTTCATGCAGATCTTCATCAGCTTGCAGATGTGTGGGGATATGCCAGGTGGGATGGTTGGACGTAGCCCCTCCAGTGCCACCTGGGAGCATGAGAGAGCAGGGCAGGATCAGAAACCTGGACCCAGCCCTGCATGTGACAGGCAGAGCCCATACCTCTGGGAGGAGCATCAGCGGGCTCTCCTTCGGTGGGCCTTGCCTCCCTGCTGGCTGCTTGGGCCCTGTTATGCCCTGGCTGATCTGGTCTGGACCAGTGCATTTTGCCCAGCCCTCTCCTCACCTTCATGCCTATCTCCATGTTGGACAAGTCTGCAAATGGCACCTCGCGGGTCACCAACTCCCACAGAAGCACTGCGAAGCTCCACATGTCAGCCGAGCGCCTGTTAATTTCCTCTGGCTTCTTCTGCAAGGCTGTAGGGAATCCAGCACAGCGTGAGGGGCACTGAATGGGGCTGAGGGCGAGGAAGGGCCAAGCAGCAGGAGGGGCCCAGCTACCAGGCGCTCACCTTCTGGTGCCACCCAGGCTGGCGCATACATCCTCCCCGGGCACTGGAAGGAGAACTTCGCGTCAGCCATGCTGATCCGTGCTGTCATGTCCTCGTCGATCTGGGGAGAGAGGGCTGGTCAGAGGGGAGCCTGCCCTGCCCCGGTCTGCAGGAGGAGGAGCTGGGCCATGCCACACGGACACTCACCATGATGCTGCGACTGTTGAGGTGGTGGCGTGGAATGAGGGGCTCCAATGTGTGCAGGAAGGCCATGCCCCGTGCAATGTCAAAGGCAAATTTCACTGCCTGCATCTGGTCCACCACAAAGTCTGCAGGGAGGGAAGCGGCATGAGGGTAAGTGAGGGAGGGGGTGCCATGTCACTTGCAGTGTGTGTGGGGAGGGGAGGTGGTGGCAGACACACCACACACGGCGTGTGGGGAAGGTGTGCAGACTGGGGACCGAGCTCACCCCAGGCCCACCCTGGTGTTGCATCTGGAGGGGCCCCCTGCCACTCTCCAAACACATGGAGAAGCAGCTTCTCGAGGATGGGGAGACTAGCCTCTGCCCCTGGCTCTGTCACTCCCACAGCACTCACTTGTCCCCTCATGTAACACGTTGTAGAGGGAGCCATAGGGCATCCAGTGGCTGATGACAATGGGGTGGGGTGCTGGAGGGGACTGGCAGGCACCCAGCACTGGTAGCACATTGGGGTGAGAAAAGATCCTGCAAGAGAAGTGACAGCCCTGAGAACAGTGGGTGCTGCCCACACCCCCTCATCACCTCCCTGCCCTTTGCCCCACTGCCGGCGTGCCGTCCTCCCAGGGCCTCCTCACGTCCTCTGGGGCACTGCTCTGGAGTGCTCCCACCCGACCCTGCAGACCTGGTTGGCTCTTGCCATTCTCATCCTCCTCTGGCAAGAACATCTGCCCTCGAGAGCCACAGGGAAGGATGTCGGCA